GTCTGACCTGGAGACACTGTACAGCAGTCTGTCTACAGCTGGGGAGGTGTGTCTGACCTGGAGACACTGTACAGCAGAGTCTGTCTACAGCTGGGGAGGTGTGTCTGACCTGGAGACACTGTACAGCAGAGTCTGTCTACAGCTGGGGAGGTGAGTCTGACTCGGGGACACTGTACAGCAGAGTCTGTCTACAGCTGGGGAGGTGTGTCTGACCCGAAGTTACTGTACAGCAGAGTGTGTCTACAGCTGGGGAAGTTTGTCTGACCTGGTGAGGGCCTCCACACTGTACAGCAGGGCTTGCAGAGAGGTGGCCAGGGCAGCAATGGCGGCGATCTCATCTCGGGCTGCAGAAGCTGACTCCAGGGCCTCTGTCTGCTTCTTCAGCTTCTGCAGGAAACACGGCACCAGCGCTTCCAGCACCATCAGCATCTGTAGGCTGGGACATGGACATGTGTAAAGCCTCCTTCCATGCACACACTCTCTCACACCACACTGAGAGGCAGAAAGGCTCACTCCAGGAGCAAGGCAGTGTCATAGGGAACAGGTATGGTGCTCTAGATGCCGGAATAATATTGTGGGTTCAAATCACAACTGGAGCACAGCTGTAAATACACTTGAGTAAGGAGCTTCACACTGATTGCCCTGGTAAAGTGCCAAGCTGTACAAATGGAGCATTTGGCATTGGATAAGCGATATATTTTAATTACAACACACAAGCTAACCTGTTCAGCCTCAAAACACACTTGTTGCTACTCATTTACTAATAGCTTTCTTCATATTTCTTAATTTAAAAATGACCTGTTTTTTTTTTTTACGTGCTTCTAGGCATTTAGGCAATATGGTCTTGGAGAATATCATATCGATTTTTTGCATTATTAACTTATTCATACTCTGTAAAAGTCTTATAGTTCTACTGCAAACTCTACCTTCGGAAGGACTCTGGTGCATAGGCCACTACAGTCACACACAGCTTGATGGCCTCGCTGATAGAAAAGGCCAGATCTTCATTCCCATAGCAAAAGTCTGCAAGGTGATGAAATGATTAAATATTAAAATTATTACATATTTTGC